GCACATACTCCTTGGCCTTAGCAACTTCGTCATGGAGCACTTCAGAAATGTTGATGAGGGCCTTTGTTACTTTTAGCCTAGTGGCTTGGCTCAGCTCTAGCTGGTCAAAAAAGGTGCGAAACTTAACAGAGTTTTACAAGGCCTGAACATGAGTATCCTCTGCGAATTTTGCCTCTACAGGTACTGTCCCAGGAAGCTAGCTACTAGTGATTTCTTCTAACTCATCATAGTAGAACGCCATGTGCACTTGATCACACATGGGCCCAAGGTACCCAATCATATAAACATTCTTCTCCTTCTCTTTGTGGTTAGGATAAGGGTCTTTCCTTACATCATGATTACCGGCATCTTTGAACTTCAACTCATTTGCGTTAACTTTCTTCTTGAAGATACTTTTCAAAGTCCAACAATCTCTAGTAAAGTGTCTGGTGGTTCTATGATAGATACAATAATCTGGACTTTCTTTGTCCTTCTTGGTTGAAGAGTCATCAATCGAAGGCAGAGTAAGTTCACCATCGGCTACCCATTCTTTAACCAAAGCTTTAACATTCTCAAGGCTACAAGGATATAGGTTTCTGTCCTTATAACTCTTCCTCTTCTAGGAGGATGATGCTTCTCCTTGCGAGCGGCTCTCGCTTGCGGAGGTTATCGCAGCAACTCTACTACTGCAGGAGTAGCAATGACTATCGCGAGATCTATGCAAAGGACCTGTAGTATTGAGGTTCCTAGCTGCCTTAATCAAGGCTAAAAAGGTAGGCAAATTATGGTTCACCAAGAAGATTTTGTAGTCGCGTATGGCACCCTCCACATATATGCTGACTAAGTGGGCCTCATCCACTAGTTCATGACAATCAATGGCCTTATCTTGGAATCGCTTGACATAGTCTAGTATATCTTCACCTTCTTTTTGGACATCTCGCCTAAATGTGAGGGTTGTAACTTTCTCTTGGACTTGGAAGAACTTCATATGGAACTTGTTCACCATCTCCTTCCAACTCTTGATTGAGTTAGGGGGCCAAGTTCACATACCAGCTGTAAGCCCTTTCAGTGTGTGATTTGGAGAACTCCCGAAGGCACAAAGAGTGGTCATTACCACAGACACCAAGAGTTTTAATGAACCTCACCACATATTCTTTAGCATTGCCTTGTTTCCCATCAAACTTGATAAACTTGGGTATTGTACACCCAGTTGGATATGGCATGACTAGTATCTCCTGAAAGTATGGGGGTTTTACATCAGGGTCGGGAAGAAATGGTAATTGTTTCTTGCTGCGCTATTGCTCGAGCATAGCTTGTACATCGGCTAAAGTAACAAAGTGAGTGGGCTGGAATGGTCTAGTCTGCTCCTAGGTAGCTGAACCAGCAACCGTACCGTTTGCCTGAGGTACCAACGGGGGCACCTGGATCAGAGCCCGAACCTCAAGGAACAGGTTAGGCACTGGGTTTGGGATTGTTACAGGCGAAGGGGATTGCACCGAAGCTGGTCGAGAAGCCATGGCCATAATAGCCTCAGTGAGAGTTTGCAAAGCTGCCAGGATCTCCCTCTGCGTATCCTGGAGTGACTGAACTGCCTCAATCACAACATTGTGGTCATGGTCCTCCGCATGTGCTGCTTTGCCATTGGAAGAGCCTTGCTGTCGTGGGGGTTGCTGAACTTCATTTTCTGCCATCTTTTCCAGTGAAGTGTGTAAGCCACTGCGGGTATGGACCATCAACAAAGCAGCTTCCCCAGTAGAGTCGCCAGAAATGTAGGGGGGTTCAAGGTTAGAGAGGTGATCAGAGAGGCAAAACTATGTCAATGGTCCAATAATGGCAGACGTGGCTGAAGAATGAGTAGTAGCAACTGTCTGGGAGTTGGAGAGTGTGTAGCTGGGTGAGGGTGAAGTAAGTGGCTCAAGAAAAGGTGTATGGCAGTACCAAATTGGGCAGCATTTCTCCCAAATCCCCAAAATTCCTCTCTGAACCTTGGAAAATGGGTCATATATATAGGCTTTTCCTTAGTGCCAAGAGGATACCAATTGACCAAATAGAGAGAAGACATGTGTCCTAGGGGATCACATGGAATATTCTGCCTTGAGCCACCAGGATGAAGATGCCACGTGTCCCTTTGCATGTACTATGTAGTATCTGTTTGCCTCCTCAACTATCTTTTTGAGCCTCAGCAAATGTAGTTGTGACGGGAGTATTGGGCTCTGCTCTTGCCTTCTCAGCCTAAACCTTAGCAAGTGCACTTGCAGCGGTGAACCTTGCCACTGCACTTGCTTTCTCGGTTCTATTTGGTCAGTACATGCATTCTCAAGACCCCATCAGCCTGCTATCGGCTATGTTCGTGTTCACCTCAGCGAAACATCCACCCTTAGCCACCTAACCACAAACTCCCCAACTTCCCAAGGCGAAGGCCACAGCCAAGCCTGTTATCAGCCATGCTGTGCCTTAGTACCAAGGCCAAGGGGGCTTCCTTAGTCTTGCCTGTGCGACTAAGGTAGGTCCATGACCTGGGTAAATGGAAAGGGAGTCCTTTTGTTCGGGCTACTCTGCTCCCATCTTCGCGGGGTTGCCATGGTAAACTGGTATTTCTGGGTCTGCTATCAACTCCAACTAGTAAGTCTTGGGGCTTGCTATCAACGATAGGTTAATAAACTATGGGGCCTGCTATCAGCCTTAGGCTAGTAATATCTTGGAGCCTGCTATCGACGCCAAGCATTAGCCTCTACTTGCAGAGGGAAACCTCTCTCAAAGGCTGCTATCACTTTAATAGGATATTCTCTTTGCAACTTAGTTGTTGCGGTAGTCATTTCTCATGGCAAGTTCATACGGCATGACCTAAGATATTAGAGATGGCGGCACCGATAGAATGCCTCCGCAACTTGGGCGCAGAAAGCATTGCCTCTGCAACTTAGTTTCTTCGGTCCTTTCTTTCCCTCAGTAACTCCAGATGATCATGACACCGACATTACTTGGAATGACGGTGACACCGAAGATACTTGGAATGACGGCACTGAGACAAAGTGCCTCAGCAACTTTACTGTTGCACACGTTCCCTCTGCAACTTCATCGCTACAGGTATTGCCTCTGCAACTTGACTTGGGCATTTTTTTTTTCGCGGAGTCCATCTGGAGCCCTGGTGGGTCGGACCTGCCTCGAGCCACTTGTTGGCCCACTTCCCTTGGGCTTTGGCCCATGTTCCTTTTTTATACCTAGTTGCCTCTTTGGAGTGATCTCAGTGCTTAGGTCCATACTTAGTTTGGGGTTTAATTTCTGACCCTCTACAGCTACTATGTTCTTTTCCCTTGCCACCATATCTCTCATAGGAAAAAAAAGTCAACTTTTTGGTTTTTTTTAAAAAAATGTATACAAAAATAGGGAGATAATGTGACTCAAATAAGTCAATAAATCAATAAGTTAACTTTTTTCCTAATGGCCAAAACATCTACAATCTCTGCCACTATGAATCACCATAGTCAACTATCAGAGAAAATATTTGAAAAACACCAATTCGTATTTGGAGGAAACACAGCCTGCACCACTACGATTTTACCTTCTTTTTGCTTTGGTTTTGGCCACAAACAAAAAGCACTAATTTTTTTTTTGAAATCTTACACTTAACCGTCGCTAATTGTTTTTATTTTTGCCCCTTTTTTTTTTTTCTTTTTTTTTTTTTTTTGGTGATCAGTTTGACAAACACAATTTCTCATAATTGTTATTCTTTTTGGCTAACCATTTTTTTCCCGGTGTTGTAATTCATTGAGCTCTTGAGAAGCATGGCATGGGTGTGAAACAATTCTACCTTCGATGAGTACTTAGATTATGAGATTCTTGGTAGAATTTGTAGTGAGGTGGCATTAGTGGAAAGCACATCTCTTGGGCAGATTTATTAAAACTGTTTTAGTTGTGGAAATTGTTAATTACTGGACTAGTAGTGATATCATTCGAATAAAAATGAAGCACAAATCTAAATGCTATCCAAGAAAGAAAATATCCAAACATAGTTATCTAACAAAATTTTATAGGAAAGGGCCTGGATGTTTACCCACTATTAACATAAAGCACATATTTGGAACTTGAATTTGCTGGGGAAAATAAGAAAAAAAATATAAAAAAAATGAGACAAAAAAAAAATCCACTCACAATTTTTCATAAAATGAATGTCTAATTCATTATCACAATTAAAATTTTGCTTTAGGAGTTACATTTGCCAAATAAAAAAGCCAACTACAATTTTATCTTCAAATCAAATAACAATCCATTTTTAAGCCAATTATTTATTAAAAGGAGCTTATACCAAGAATGCTGCATTTAAAAGCTTAGAGGATATTTCAGATAATTCACCAATAGAGTTCTACTAAATTTAGAAAACTACAACATACGAACAATGGTAAGGGTTACAACAGGTTACAAGGGACCCAATTTTTAAATCCTATATAGAGACAAACACAACTTTGCATACATTTGGGGGGACGAAAAAAATCACAGGTAAAAAAAAATTTGGAAAAAAAGGCAATTTGTTTTTTTTCCCCTGCCAAAACGGGCTTTAGTCTATTTTTTTTGATCGGCAAAAAGAAGACTTTATTGATGGAAAATGTGGAAAAATTACATCAATAAAGAGGAAGTTGGAGCTATATCAAGCTCCAACCTCCTAGTTGGTGAGAGACCAACAAACAAAGCAAACAGAGCAAAATTAAACCAGAAAAACCAGAAAAGCAGCAGCCCTTCCTACAGCAGCCCTTCCTAGCACCAAAATTGTTGAAGCCAACACAGCAGCAAACACAGAGCCCTCCTAGCACCAAGACAGCCATGAGCAAACAGCACACAGCAGCAACAAAACAGATCAGACACAGATCAGCTCAATCAGGAGAAAGCATAACAGGCTGCAGATCACCCCAGTAGCACACTATCACCCTCAGCAGTCTACAGCTCGTGCACCTTTTCACCCCAGCAGAGCAGACTACAGATCACCCTATCTGTAGACTGCTGAGGGTGAAAATGTGCTACTTAACAGATCAGACACAGATCAGCTCAATCAGGAGAAAGCATAGCAGGCTGCAGATCACCCCAGTAGCACATTTTCACCCTCAGCAGTCTATAGCTCGTGCACCTTTTCACCCCAGCAGAGCAGACTACAGATCACCCTCAGTAGACCAGAACTTATGCATAACATCATTTCAGCAAAGAAACATACTCAACCCACATAGCTTCAGTAAGGCAGCAATTAGCTACATACAGTGGCAGACCTGATATGAAAGACACTAATCAAGGTAATCTAAAGGTCACAAATCTTTTATGATCATTTTCATGAAAAGTCTTTCATGATCCCTAACATTTCTCTATATATATATATATATATATGAATATATATCCTCTAGCAATTAGCAACTGTAGCAAGATGAGAGTGGTAGAAGCAATATTATACATTGTTCTCGCAATTTTCAACCTTGGAATCCAAAGTGAAGTCCAGGCCTATTCCACCATCTCCTTCAATGTGGTAGGTGCCACCTTGGCCACATATAGAGACTTCATAGGGGAACTATGAGAAATCGTGTCACGAGGAACCCGTACAGTAAATGGCCTACCAGTGCTGAACCCCGAAAGTAAACTGGTGGTTGCGAACCGGTTTGTTCTGGTCCGTCTCAGCAATGGCGTCACCGTCACATTGGCAATAGATGTGGTGAACCTTTATGTGGTGGCTTTTAGTGGTGGAGATAACAAATCCTACTTTTTCAATGACCGTACGGCATTTCAGTACAACAATTTATTCAACGGCACCCAAAAAAGCAACTTAACCTTCACCGGCAACTATATCAGCCTTGAGAGGCAGACAGGAGTTAGGCAGAGGGACCAACTCCCTCTGGGACCAACTCCCCTAGCTGATGGCATCACAAGTTTATGGTACGGTAGGAGCGTAGCCGAACCGCTCCTTGTGGTCATTCAGATGGTCTCGGAAGCGGCAAGGTTCAAATACATTGAGGAACAAGTCCGTAAAAGCATAACCGGTCGAAACACTTTTACACCAAAAGGTTTGATAGTGACCATGGAGAACGAATGGGGGTCTATGTCCAAGCAGGTTCAGCTTTCGTGAGATGGAGAAAACTTCATTAATAGCGTTCAGCTTAAAGATGACAATTACCAGATCCTCACAATAAACAACTTTACTACACTCAGTCGCTATACCATGATAGCAATTCTTCTTGACGAAAGCGTCACGACTACTAGTAGTAGTTATGGCAATGTTGCTCCAGCCAAGGACAACGATGACAGGGAGTTGTTCAAACCCTAAAATTGATGTAACTGCCTAAACCCCACATCTCACCCTTAAATAAATTATTCTAGGTAACCTCCTTTCCTCTCAAACTGGTTTGAGAGCATAAAATAAACAGTTACCCTTCATCTTCCTCCAAATTTAAGTCTGTTTTGCATTTTCGTTTTGGATTTTTTTTTGTATTTCTTGATCAATGTGGGGGTTAATGTGATCAATTGGCATATGCCTTTTTTTTCTTCTTCTTCTTATATTGCATCTATTTTAGTATATATTACCGGCCAGACGCACCCGAAAAAAGTTATCAAAATAATATTGTGAGAAAGATGAGTAATGTTAGGGATCATGAAAAAAATATCATAAAAATGATCATAAAAGATTCTCTACTTTTAGATTATCCATACAATAAAACACCACACACTAATCACACACTAATCAATGGATGAAAAATCTTCATGATATATTTTTCATGATCTCTAGCATTATTGGAGAAAGATATATGAAGGAAAAAAAAATAGAATTAAAGAGTAAGATTAAGAATAATTTCAATCAAACTGAAAATATACACAAATATTTTACAAACAGTACAATATTTACAAAATATATACACATATTAAAAAAGATACATGATGAATAAACAGTACAATATTTACAACATATATACACATATTAAGAGTAAGATTAACAATAATTTCTTCTTATTCGTCTTCTTCATCTTTTTTTTTTTTTTCCTCTTATGTTGCATCTATTTTAGTATATATTTCAGGCTAGACACACCCGAAAAAAGTTATCAAAATAATATTGTGAGAAAGATATATGAAAACAAATTAGAATCAAAGAGTACGATTAACAATAATTTCAATCAAATTGAAAATATATACAGATATTTTAATAAACAGTACAATATTTAAAACATATGTACACATATTAAAAAAAGATACATGATGAATCTATAAAAAATCTAATTTTGCTCTCATGAGACTGAGAATATAATTGGAAATCTTACAAGAAAATGTATAAGATACATACCAAATAAGTATTATTTAATTTATTCTGCAAAGATTAAAATAAAAATTTACTTCATTCAAATGAGAAAAAATTATAAAGAGACAACTTTAGTTTTTTGTTTATGTAATTGATTGGTTGCGTTATGTATGAAGACAATGAATGTTAACACTACAACAAATTGCATTTTTGGCAGTTAAATTTGGCGACTAAAAATAATTAGTCGTCAAAAGTTGTAAAATTGGCAACCAAAAATTATATTAGTAGGCAAAATTACAATATTTAGCTACTAAATTTTTTTAGTTGGGATATATTGATTATTGGTGACTAGAAAATAATTAGTCGCCAAAAATGCCACAATTGGGGACTAAAAAAAATTTTAGTCACTGTATAGTTAGTTTTGGCTACTAAAATTATTTGGTCACCAAATGAAAAACATAAATTTACTTTTTATCTTTAGCGACTAAAAGTTTGGTCGCCAAAAATTTATTTTCAGCGACTAAAAAATTTTTGGTCGCTGTATAGTTAGTTTTAGCTACTAAAAGTATTTAGTCGCCGAATGAAAAATAAAAATTTACTTTTTATCTTTGACGACCAAAAGTTTAGTAGTCACAAATTTATTTTTAACGACTAAAATTTTTTTTGGTCGCTATATAGTTAGTTTTGGCTACTAAAATTATTTGGCCGTCAAGTAAAAACAAAAATTCACTTTTTATCTTTGGTGACCAAAAGTTTAACCGGCAATTGTAATGAAAAGTTATGGAGCGAGAATTTCTAATTTTGAAAGAATTCCTAAATTATTTTTGGAGGGATTGATAACTTAATAGGCGACCAACGAATATTTAGTCGGTGAAATATGCCTTTTATTTTTTATTGGCGACTGAAAGTGGTTCGTCGGTAAAAGAGAAATAAATTGGGAGTTACAAACAAAATAAGTTATCTCTCACGCCATTGTCTATCTACGTCTATCACGCCTCTCTTTCTCTCTCTCTCTTTCTCTCTCACATGCTGATTGCCTCCTCGTAATATTGAATCTCTGTTGCTTTGTCTCCATTGCCGTAGGGTAAGGAGCATCATCGCCATCGAGCACCATTGTCGATCCACTATTGGAGCGTTACCCTAGGTATGTCCTCTCTATTTTGCCTTCTCTCTATCTCTCTCTTCGTCTCTTTTACCGTAATATTTGTCTATCTTTTCCACCATTTGGATTTTTTTTTTGATCAGCAAAAAAGAACCTTTATTGATGAAAAACCATACAAGAGATGAGATTAAATCAAATAAAGGAAGGAATTTGGTGAGGAACCAAACCCGAAAGGAAGAGGATCAAAACAGAACAGAAACACAGCACACACAGCAGTAGGAAGGCCTACTATTGCATACAAGAACCTAAGCCAAAAACAAATCAACATGCAAGCTTAACCCTTTGCCATCAGCCCAGAATTACACAAGCACACCCTTTGCCATTAGCTTAGCAGCCCAGAGTCCACCAGCAGACCACCAATAGACCAGCAGATCCAAACAATGTAACAACAGACTACCAGCAGACCAGCAACAAAACAAAACAGATAAACAGCACCATAACAGAAAACCATATCAGAACACCAACCAGGACTTATACTTTTGCAGCCAATATCAAGTCAGAATAGCTACTGTTTGTGGAATTGCTGCAACCTAACTAATCAAAACCTCAGAAGCTTGATGGCTATTGCACAAGCACACACTGATGATCCTACAAATACACAAATACACTGATGATCCTTCCCACTATTAGATCCTTCTCATATCACAACCTCAATATCTTGATCCTTCTTATTCTGCAAACTCAGTAGAATTTAGTGAGCTTCTGTTTTGAACTCCAGTCAATAACCCAGCAACCTTCACCCTCCATTCTTGATACAATATTTCACCTGAGGCAGATTAAAGACCAAATCATTAATGGAGAAATCAACCTGGATTTTCGATGCTTTGAACCACATAGCAACTCTAACTTTCACTAAATCACACAAAGCTTCCAGATTTGGTTGAGAGGCACCGAAGACACACTCATTTCTGTGCTTCCATGTGGACCAGAGAGTGGCCAAAGGAATGGCCATCCAGATTTTCTTCTCCAGCCTCTGCATCACACTTCCGGACCACCATTCCAGCAACCCATGCACAGATCCTGGAATCACCCACTGCAATCCCCACCAACAAATAATATCTGACCAAAGCCGCCACACAAAAGGGCAATGGAGCAAAATATGTTCCACAGATTCAACCTCGATATGACAAAAAACACAGCCAAGGTTTACATTACCTGTAAGAATTCCAATTCTATGAAGAAAATAAGATGTTTTAACCTTACCGAGCCAAGCTAACCACCCGAAAAATTGCACTTTTGGAGGCACAAAGTTGTTCCAAAGTGAGGCAGCCACTGGAATTGCAGATCCCAGAGAAGATTCAGTCCATTTATAAATTGATGAAACAGAAAAGAGTTTAGAAGGGTCTGCACACCAAAGGAGCTCATCAGGGTTGGTACTACACAGTATTGGTGCAGAGCTAAGCAAACAGGATAATCTATATGCTTCTTCCTCCTCCCAAGCCATCAAAGTTCTTCTAAATCCCAGGTTCCATCCACCATCCTCTGCCCTTCTTTCGAAAAACACACTAACCACACCATCTTTATCATTAGATAATAAGAAAAGCCTTGGAAATTCATCCATTAAGCAAACATTACCCACCCACTTGTCCCTCCAAAAAAGAACTCTTCTCCCATCCCCCAGAACTATCTTAGAATTATTCATATAGAACTGATGCAGCTCTGGATTGGACTGAACAACATGAATTATATCAGTCCAGAGTTTTGAACCTCTACCAAACAGTTTTGGGAACCATCTTCCATCCACTGGCACATATTTTGCACAAATCACTTCCTTCCAAAGCGATTGATTCTCCACACCAAATCTCCACCACCATTTTAATAGTAAACATTGATTCAACGTTATAATCCTCCTCACACCTAATCCTCCTAATTTCTTATTTTTAGTAATTACCTCCCACCGGACCATCTAAATGATCCCAACTAGGTTGGCACCACAAACCTCATCCTATCATTTGCTAGCACCCCCAGTTGGTGAGAGACCAACAAAAAAAAGAAAAGACCAAAGAAACAACAGAGCAGCCACCCAACCAACCAACCAAACCTAGCACCTAAATTTTACGTTATTTAAAATCACCAATTCAGATCTCAGCAGATCACCAATTCAGATAAAAAAGCAGAACTGAAAAGCAGAACACCAGCATCACATTCCTTGAGTTGCCAGCAGTAGGCCAAATCTGTTGACTGAGGCACACCATCTGCAGGCCACAGCAGCCATCCATACCCATCCACTTTCTGAGCCTTATATGAATAGCATACAGCAAACAGAGCAGACCAGCTGCACAAAGCAGACCAGCTTCCCTCCTAAAATCTCCAATACCATATGGCAGACCAGCAAACAACCAGCTCCTAAACATCAGCCTCAATCCTGCACTCCTAAACAGCAAAATTAGCATACAGTAGCAGGCACAGCCAGATTAGCATAATACTGCAGCTGGAGGTAGCCCCAAGACATCCTACAGCAGCAGGCACACCAAAATAGCAAACTGCAGAAACCCAACAGCAACCACAAATCATTAGCATAACTCTGCATGTGGATGAGGATCCCCTTTGATTACTGGATTCAAGTTTGCTTAGCAGGCCAAACATAAGAGCAACATACACCAGTAAGACTGCAGTGCAGACTCCAGCTCCAGAAAGACTGCAGCTCAAAAAAAAAACAAGACTACAACTACTAAACTTAACAGTAAAAAAAAAACATATGCTAATATATGGTATGAACATCGAGTATTTTTCTCGATCTTTTATTCCCCATCTTCTCCACCTACTATTCCATTCCGTTCAATTCCATTCGCTTGTCTCTAGCTCTGCCTAAAATCGAGTTCTGATCCATACTTAACATATTCGCAGCCTCCACTATTAGGTCATCCATCAACAATTTCTCAATTTCCAT